TGGCTGTACAGATTATAGTCTCAGTACAATCCTGAATATGAAAGAGAGGTAGGGATCGTGGCGGCTTCTGCGGATTACTGTCTTAGAACCACTTCGTTAAAAGTTGCTTTTAAACATTTTGACTAATAATGAGGCAGTTGATTGAACTGGATCCGGATTTTAGACTTGGAACAATAACACAGGTTCGACAAGTTCCTGAAGCCTTTCTGACTCCCAGCTCTAAATGAACAGACTTACAGCTGTTGCAGAGACAGTGAGTAACACTGAAACTGCATATAAGTTTATAACTGAATCATAGGATCAATCACCTAATTAGTTTCACCCTTAAGTTACTGCATACTAGTGATATTATTAGATCCCAGCTAGGCTGATGCTAAACCTAAGGTTTTCACAGTTTCCTAACTGCTGAGAGCAATTTTCAGGCACCAGTTCTGCCTGTCGTCCTTTTGTTCCTGGGCAGAGGGCAAGGTCAAACTTCCCATGCACTGCCCCCGTGAGCCTATCCAAGTGGCTTGCTTGCACAAGCGGAAGGTTTCAGTTCCTTCTAGGTTCACATCAAGGGGAGCTCTGCGTCTCCACGGCCTTCCGCGCTGTTGTGATCATGCCGAGATGCGGGAAGATGGAGGTGACACAGAACTGAAGGGTCCTAAGATGTTAAGCTATTACTCTGAGCACAGCTTCATGGAGAGGCCCGGGATTGACAACAGACTCCCCCCTCCCAAAGCGGTACTCTTGTTTAGGATTAAGTCACTAAAATACATTCAGCAGCTTTCGGAAACAAGACTATACTTCATGTTCTTATTTATTACTATCCATGATGTAATCTTGGAATTGCATAACGTACCAGCAAAATAGTAATCGTGGTTACTAGAAACCTTTTTACATAATGCTGGAAAATGGCCCCTTCCCAGTCCCTCTGAAAAACTGTTCAGCTCTGTTCAGATGTTGCTTAATTTCCTGAGTGGAAATCTCACCTCTTATTCCAGACAATCATTTCTAGTTCTTCCTCTCAGGTATTGACTTTTCAGAAAGGTTTCGTAGACTGCCCAGATGGAAATAGCCCACTCTTCTTAGCCCCAGGGGATTGGTAGATGAACCAAAGCCAGCATACCTGACGAAAACAGGGTGACAATTTTATTTCAGCTCACGGTTCTGGGGATTTAGAGGTGTCCATTCATCACGCCAGGGAGGGTGTGACGGGATACAGCAGTTCATGCCACAGTGGCCAGGGAAATGAGAAAAGGCATGTGCCAGCAGGGGCCTGACTTTTTCCTTTCTTCAACTCTTCCTTCATCTGAGCCCTTAGCCCAAGAGAGAAAGTGCTGCTCACATTCTCAGTTCAATTAATCCTTCCTAGAACTGTCCTTGTCAACAGGTCCACGGGTGTGCTGTACAAATCGAAGTGACCTGAGTTAGGAAAGATGACACCGACAATTGTCATGCCCACATAGAGGGATTTGAAAGGCTCTGGGCTCATCGCTGTCTTCTGAAGGGAGAACTCAGGCCACAGAAGACAGTCTGTGAAGATTCTTGGAAGAGGCAAAAGAAAGAAAGCCTAAGGGTTTCACTGAAGACATTTGATGTGTGGCAAAACTTTTCCTCGGGAGATGCCACACACGTCAGCTTACCCAGTTATGAAACCCACACAGGCCACAGTGTAGATACCACCAAAATTCAATCTGGTTGTACTGACTGGTTTTGTGGGTCAACTTGGCCCAAGCTAGAGTCATCAGAGGAAGGAGCCTCTACTGAGGAAATGCCTCCATGAGCTCCAGCTATAAGGCTTTTTTCTTTTTTAGTGAGCAACGGGGGAGGCCCCATCTCTTGGTGGGTGGTGGCATCCCTGGGCTCTTGGTCCTGGGTTCTATAAGAAGGTGGGCTGAGCAAGCTAAAGAAGCAAGCTCTTAAGTAGCTCCCCTCCTTGATCTCTGCATCAGCTCCTGCCCAGGGTCCTACCCTGTTGGGAGTTCCTGTCCTGGCTTCCTTCAGTGATGAGTTGCAATGCTCAAGTATAAGCCAAAATACAAAAAAAAAAAAAAAACAATAACAACAACAACAACAAAAACCCAAACCCTCTTTCCTCCTCAACTTTCATTTCAGTCGTGGTGTTTCATGGCAGGAATAGAAACAAATTGGTACCAGTCTAGTGGGGGGTTGCTGTGACAGATCTGACCATGCTTTAGGGAGGATTGTGGAAGGACTTTGGAATTTTGGACTAGAAAGGCCATTGCATGTTGAGACCTCAGTGGGATGTTCTGTGGGAACTTGAAACGTAAGAATGGTCAGAGCAGTGCAGAAGATGGAGGCTTGCTGCAGCCAGCGCAGCCTGGATAGCCGAGACCGGCACGGGATTGAGACAGGGAGAGACTGGCAGAGGGTGCTGGGATTGAGTCAGGCAGGCTTCTTTTCAGGTGGAAGAACAGCTACCTTTATTTTGCCCAGCAACCTTTTATACCTCTACTCCTGTGATTAACAAGACACCAGAGCTACTGAAAACTTGGTTACTGGGACGACGGATGCTGGTTGGCTGGAGCTGGGAAATTAGTGGTGACCAAGGAGAGACCAGCATCAGCGGTGAAATCTTCTGGGAACTGTTTCCTGAGAACACTGAGAAAACTGCCTTCCAGAGGTAGCCAAGGTCGTGCCTCGTGCCGGCAGCCAGACATAGTCATGTATAAATGCCCCCCAGGTGGTAGTGGTTTTGAAAGGATGAAGGGGTTGTGGAGCACCAGCCTACAAATAATGACACAGAAACTTATTAATATGAAAGCTTGGCCTTAGTTTAGATTTTTTTTTCCCAGTTAGCTCTTGTAACTCAAAGTAACCTGCTTCTATTAATCTATATCCTACAACATGGCTCGGTTACCTCTGTTCTATACTGTTTGTCCAATCTCTTCAGTGTCTCCCTGGCATCTCCTGCATGCCTAGATTTTTTTTCTCTTCTTCTCTCTCCCCGGAAATCCCACCTATCCTCTCCTGCCTAGCTAATGATGGTTAGACGTTTTATTACATCAATCAGAGCCACACATCTTCACGCAGTCTACAAATATTCCACAACAAAATATTTTTGAAAAAAAAATGCATTAAGGCTTCTCAAAATATTTTGTAAACTTTTGAGAACAATAGGGGTGGTGGTTTGAAATAAAGATAACGCTGCTGGCTTTCAGTCTTGCTTTGGTCCAGTTTTTCTTTTCACTGTCCTTCTTTTCTTCCCTTTGATGGTAATGTATATCCTGTGCCATTATATGTTGGAAATATGTGATCTGATTTTTATTTTGGTTTTACAGAGGGGGTTACCTTAGAAGAATGACTTGAGTCTCAGAAGTTCAAAAACTTTGGGCATTTTTTTTTTTCAAGATATAAACTGATTGGCCCATTAGCTCAGGCTTCTTGTTAACTCTTATAACTTATATTAACCCATTATTCTTATCTATGTTAGCCACATGGCTTGGTAGCTTTTTCAGCGGGGCAATCACATCTTCCTTCTGTGATCTGGGTATGACTGCCGAACTTTGGACATTTAAACAATGTGGAGACTGTGATAGATTATGGGGACTTTTGGAGTTGAACTAATTGCGTTTTTGCTTTATTAAATGGCTATATGCCTATGGGGGCCAGGGGTGGAATGTGGTGTTTTGAACAAGAATAGCCTCTATAAACTCATATATTTGAATGCTTAGTCTATAGGGAGTGGTGCTATTTGAAAGAATTAGAAGGATTAAAAGATATGACCTTGTTGGAAAAAGTATGTCACTTGGGGTGTGACTTGGGGTTCCAAAAGCTCAGGTCAAGTCCAGAGTCTTTCTTTCTGCCTAGAGATCAAGCTGAGAATGTCATCTACTTTTCCGGCACCTGCCTGCATGCTGACATGCTCCCTGCCATGATGATAATGGTCTAAACTGTAAGCAAACCTCCAGTTAAGAGGTTTTTTGTATTAAGAGTTGTTGTGGGGATGATATCTCTTCACAGTAATAGAACAATGACTAAGACCATAAGAAAAGCCAAATATTCATTTTTTAATATGCTTTCTGTTCAACTATAAATGTCAATATGATGTTTAAAAATTTGTATTTTCATATCTAACTAAAAAGCTGGATGCAGTGGCTTGTATCTGTAATCTTAGCATTCTGAGAAGCTAAGGCAAGTTTGTTGTCATATCTTTGAGGCCACATTATGAGTTCAAGGCCAGCCTGGGCTACAAAGCAAGACACTGTCCTAAATATATCCAGAAAGAAAAAGGAAATTGAAAAAAATTCACACGTAAAAAGTGGCTAACATCTTCCTATACAGCTTACTTTTGCATATTATAACCTAAAGGAAGTACATATTTAATAGTTTCTGTGAGAGTCAATATTAAATTTTAATTTTTAATTACTGTGCCTTAGAGATCCATGAGACAAAAATGCCTCCGATCTGCAAGCCCCTTGCCCAAGGACAGATAGTTCCTGAAATGCTGGAGGATAGTGTTTATGGAAAATAAGAAGTCACATGTTTTCACTCCCCTAAACAAATTCGTGTGACCCATCTGCACCAGAAGTGCTTGATCATAGGAGTGCCGGAGGTTCCCAGGCAGGAAGTACGTCAGGATGTATACTTGTCCCTGACTGGATCTGATGGGTGATACAATGAATTGTGGGTTTTCCTTCTTAAGCTCTTGATTCAGGCCATCTTCTGGAAACCTGGACATAGAACTACCAGAGTCCATCCACCTGGTCAGTGTTTAACTAAAACTTACTTCAAATTAACTGTGGTCGCGGTCTTATTCTCAACCGCCAGGATTAACACTTTCTTTTTTTTTAATTTTTTATTTATTTATTAAAGATTTCTGACTCTTTCCCGCCACCGCCTCCCATTTCCCTCCCCCTCCCCCATCAAGTCCCCCTCCCTCGTTAGCCCAAAGAGCAATCAAGTTTCCTGATGAATATGCATGTCATTTTATATACCAAGACTAGAGATACCTTGTAATTATGTTCAACTGTAATGAAAATTTTACCTTAGACTTTGTATTTCATCCTGGCTCCTTAACCATAGAGCTGCGGCCGCAGGAACTCTGGGATGCGTTTTTCTATTGGTCATACTCTGTTTTTTTCCTTTGACACATCTGCTTTTCTTTCCCCTCCTCTTTCTATGTGTAATCTTATTTAATGCCCTTTTTCAAAACCTATACAGTAATGAATACGGGACTATATATAAAAGTAACAGGAACATGTTCTTTGACATTGTAAAGTTCACATTTATTTATATACTGCAAGTGAAATTTTCAGAATGAAATTCACATAAAGTTTATGTTAATAAAAAACAACTTTAAAATATAGTTTATATAGGAGTAGCTATTCATGCTTCATTTCCCTAAAAACCTATTCTTGTGAGCCATGCTGCCTAGCTGGGACCAGTATATGAATGCTTGTCTCACAGATCTCCAGAGGAAACAAGAGCCCACGGAAACAATATCACTTGGCAAGGACCAGCGGACTTTGAGACGGCACAGAATGTTGCTGGGACCACGCCTCTTTCATGCTCGCCTGCTGTCATCATATTAATGATTTCTTTGGCGGTTTTAGTGCCATCTTATCAATCGTCCGTGGGACAGACATGATCATTCCTGGATACCCCCTTTTTTCCTAAACTATTTTCCCCTAAAATCTTTGGGAACCCTTGCTTCTTGGGTTTCTTGTCCGGCAATGCCAGTTGTCACTTTGGACCCCAGGAGCTGTTCTAATTCAGTACTGACAGGATCAGAGGCAGATCAACCCCTATTTCTGTCAATAGGCTTTAAACGGGTTTATTTAAAACGCGTGACTATGTTTAATCACCTTTTAGGTTTGTAAAGACAGGATAATACCTGGCTCAATATTTGGCCAAGCTGACAAAATGTGAAGTGCTGTTTTGGTTCAAAGACGTTTTGATGTAAAAGTTGGGAAAAATATATATTTGACATATTTGTTTTTGCCAGAGGTTAACATTGTAGTATAAGAAAAACATGTTTGTTTTTTATGTGTGAAGAAAGATGGCCATCCACTTGTGTGACACTCATTGGATGATTGGAACCTTCAGTGCAGCTTCATGATAGAGTGCTATCCTGGCCGTTGGTTCAATCCTCAGTACTGAGGGTAAAGAGATTTCCAAAAAAAAAAAAAAAATGCTACCTTTTTCTTTGTTAATCCTGGTTTTGGAAAGAGGCTCTTATTCTTAAATCTAGGTTAGGTTAGAACTGACTGTGTAGCCCTTGCTTGACTCAAACTAGAGATCCCCTGCCTCAGCTTCCCAAAGTGCTTTCGTTGCAAACATGGACCATCACTTCTGATTAGATGATACTATTTTCAGAAAAAAAACTTGAATTGCACCTTTCTCACCCTATGTTTGGAAGTGTATATGCCTGGTCATGTTCTACATGACTTCTCCTGTTGGGTCTGGTCAGGAGCTTTTCCTAGGGGATATGAGCAAGCATCCAATCCCCCCAGATGTGGCACCAAAGAGAAGACCAATAAGGAATTCTACAAAGGGAATCATCCATCGTGGTGAACCAATAAGTTTACTGAGATTCCTTACAAAAGCGTGGATGGCTGAAAGGCAGCTGCCTCACTAAACCGCTGACCCCAACACGGGGGACCACTCATGGAAACTGTGTATCTGAAGCTCCCTGAACAACTTGCATGGAGCTGAATAGGTTAGATAGGATTGTCTCCTCCACTTAGTAATCTTTACTGCTTGTAGAACCTTGAGGAGGAACTTTGTGAGCCCCATAAGTTTCCTAGACTTCCTGAGATGTGTTAGTTGTTTACTTCGTGAGTATTTGTAGATTCTGTTTACTTCCTGGATCTTAACAAGCCTCCCTCTAGGATGAAATTTTTCCCTTTGGAAGCAATTGCTACATAGTAGTTTGTCATTTGCAACCATTCTAGAAATGAAAAAGTATGCAACTTGATGTTTTTTTTAAATTGTCAGTTTTACTGAATTTTTAATTCATCATATTTTGCAGTTTTTAAAGACAAATCAACATATTTTCCTAGAGTTTGCAGGAAAGTAATTGTTCATTAATTAAATTTTGTATTCATACAAAAAGCTTTTATTTGAATGCTATAGCATGTATTATTGGACTAGGAGAGCTAGAAGGTGAACTTGTGCCCTGTGCCCTTATGCTGCATAAAGACACTGAAGTTAAAGTCTAAAGTAAGTTGACTAGTAATCATGGTAGGGTCTCCTTCCATCAAAAAATGTTAATGTTTAAGAATGTTGGCTATCCAAAGAAGAAATGACTGGTTTTGGTATGCTACAGTCTCTTATAAATAGCAGTCTTTATAATACATGGTCTAGGCAGCATTAACACATTCTAGGATGGACACGAAGCTTGGAGAAACATACATGAGTTTGCAGACATGTGAAATATTGAGTACTTTTGGGCAAAAGTTTCATTGCCCACCCAAATTTCAACTCCAGATTCTGATGCAACAACACTAAGCTGTGATCATGTATAGTATATTCTGTACCGTTCTTAAGATATTTTCTTACCAACATGAATTCACTTTCTAAATTCAAGTATTCTGATACTGATTGGTAGTAATATACTTAGTGAAAATGAGTAAATCCCTATATTAAAGAGCCTGTTCTATTCCAAATACCCTGGCGTTTGTATTGAAACCTCAATCAAATAGAGATGTTCTCTTTTTTCCTTAAAAACAAACCTAAGTACCAAAAGATGGAATCAAATTTCACCGATTTTATTTTGATTTAGTTAAGTAAATTTTGGTGCTTAGGATTTTGTCATGAATTATTTATGTCATAGTAACTGTAACTGGGAGTTGTGTTCCTATGTTTTATGTTTCTCTAGTATAAATATGAGCTTTTATTATGAGAACTTTTTATGGAAAATATGTTCTCACATATACAGAATGTAGTAAGCTCCACTTATTAACCAACTTGGGAACCCTTAAAATGCTATCTTATTTAGTGTTTTCACGACCTCCCTTTCTAAGTCTTAGGAGCTTTGCAACTTGCTTGTCAGTCCCTGTTCATCACAAAGCATACCTGAGCCAGGCTGCCACTGGTCTAGGAACGCCACCCAACAAGTCCCGGTACATTTCCTTCTGGAGAGGTTCCTGGGGCTCCTCTGCCATTTCTCCTGGGAGGCTGAGCCTCTGTGGCTAACTCACTCCTGCAGTGGTTAAGAGCTCAGATGCTGGAGCCAGGCAGATTTGGATGGAGATCCACTTGCATTCTAGGTGACATTAAGAAGGTAACTGTTCTCAGCTAAGAGTACAGTTGGGTGCAGGTTGACTCTGCATGCAGCGAGAGCAGCAGAGGCTCTTCTATCAGGAATGTTGGAAATGAGAACGAGTTGTACCTTGGTTGAGACTTGGGCTTTAAAGCCATTTTCCTGTTCCTAGCCCAGAGCTCTGGCTTCTTGCTGTGTGGTGACCTTGGGCAAATCACTCCAGCTGTGGAATATTTAATTTCCTTATCTCTATAATGAAAGCAGAAATGTTCCATGGTCTCTGAGTGTTCTCTTTCCCCTCTATGTTGGGTACTCAAGTGCACCGTATTAAAGGCTATAAATCGATGACTGGAGAGATGCCTCATTGGTCAAGAACACTTGTCGCTCTTGCAGAGGACCCAAGTTTGGTTCCTAGCACCCACATGGTGAATCATAGTCATTCGTAACTCCATGCACAGGGGATCTGATGTCTTTCTGCCTTCATGGACACCAAACACTCTCATGGTATACTTTTATACAGGCAAAATACTCAGATACATAAAATAAATCTTAAAATGTTTGAACTGTAAATTTACATATATGCATGTATGTATATTTATGTATACATTAAATGTACTTACTTATAGACTTAATGGCATGGTGTCCTTTCAAATAGTACAATGTGTCTAGTTTGAACCATTGAACAGCCTGCAAAGAGAAATCTTCTTAGCCACATTTAACTCTTCTAAAAATTGAATTAAACAACTAGCCCAGAACTTTGTTATTAGTAAAGAAACAAAACTGGAATTAAAATTTTATTACTATTGTTGAATTTCTAGTAACATTACAGTCCTTGCCCTAACTGTGGGCCATTTCATAAAAAATATAATATCAAGCAAGTAGCATGCTGAGTATTTTTGCCCACCTCTGGTCAGCTTCAAAGGCCCTGGCTACCTGAACCTGTTGCGTTGCAAAGGATCCACATCAGCCACAGAAGGGGTGTGTTCTGGAGTGAGCGAGCCTTTGGGGCCCCATGAGTTACCCCTTATCATGAACAAAGGCACCCTAAAAGGTGAAAGTTTGTTATCAGCTGTGCCTGTCCTGCTGCGGGGCCGCAGAACTACCTGCGTCACTCTGGATACAGCCGCGAGCAGGGCTAAGCTAAATCACATCCCTCTCTACGTCAAGGTCCAACCGAGGGAGAGATTAGATGAACATACTTAACACTGTGTATTTCTCTCTACTAACAAGGGGGGAACCTGTCTGCCTATGGAAAGCAGTCAGGCAAGAAAATAGCCTGCAGAATGTCTACATGGAATACTACTAGCATGAAGGAGGCCCCCAAATCCCAAGCCTACCTAGTATGTTTTTAGTGTGTATCAAACATGAGTTAAAAGCTTTTCAAGATTTATTATTACTCTTCCTTTTTTTTCTTTACCTGCTTTGCCCCAATGACTGTGGTAGAGGTGGGAAAATGTCATGGAAAAGACAGCTTTATAAGCATCAGATGGGTATGTGTGTGACCTCATAAGAAATTAAACGAGATAATATACTTGATACCCTTTGCAGGCATTCAGCCCATAGAAGTTCGACTTGAAGGTCTAAGTGTGTGAATAGCCATGGAGGTAACTGTTGCCTGGAGTCTTTTTTTTGGGGGGGGGGGGGAGTTTGCAGAATTTATCAACTATCACAGGACAGGGAGCAGGATGAGGTTTTCTACATAAACTTATCCTTACAGGAGTGTCTGTGTATGTTTTTGGGATCATCACATATTTTCTGGAATTATCTGTGTGTGATTTTTTTTCTGTTATCATAAATAAAATGAGCAACTTCAATCAGCTAGGTATAAATAGTATCATGCAATGATCTGGCACGTTACTAATTCATAATTCCACAAGGAAACCGTGCAAATGGGATTAAGATGGCCAGAGTATGATAATGAAGATGATGCAGAATTGCCTTCCCTTTAAAATCTGCATTGACTGAGTACCCAGAGACACTGATTTTTGTCAAAAGTGAGACCCCAGCCTTCCCACACGCCTCTATCCAAAGAGTCTGGAATCTAATATTGAGTTGGAAGTGTCACCCCAGCCCTTGGCCTGGGAATTGTCAAGCACTTGGACTCCAACTCCCAGCCTGCCAAGCACTGACCTGACCCCTCCCCAGGGAGACTCAGGACCACTCCCACAGGGTATTTAGGCTTGTGCTGGAAAAAGGAACACTTGGTTTTGTGATTTGCTTGCTCTCCCTCTGTTCACCCTCCCCCCCCACCCTACCCTCTCCCACTCCCCACTCCCACCCCCCTGCTCCCCATCCCCTTCCAACTCACCCACCCCACCGTGCTTCCAGCCACCCGACAGGCTTGGTTAGGAAAACTATGACTGTCGTCTTTTGCTTGAAATACTATTCAAGTAAAGCCTTGTATCTGCACATAGAAAGCCAGTCTCTTTGCTGCGGATTGCTGGTCACTTCAGGTGTGATTCTTATGCATGCCATAATTGTCCCCCTCCGTTGATGACATGGAGCACACTAAGTGTAACTAACATTCCTTTAGCACCCAAGAGTCTCCTGCCAACTCGTTCTGCAATTTCTCACTTTTTAAAAAGTCAGAGGAATTTTAAAAATTGGTAGAATACGCTAATACTACTTTTTTAAGGCGTGACCCATCTATTTGTGACTTCTGCCCTTCAGATGACATTGGCCACAGGGATGCACCAGAAGTATCCTAATTATCATTTCTGTATTTGTATGTGCTCCTATTTCAAAGCCAAGTCATGGTCAAGATGAAACATGAGGCTCTGTAGTTATCCTAGGTTCACTAGTGGGCATTCTTCTTGCATGTAAGAAAAAGTAGTTATTTTTTTCCTCAATTTTAGTATTTTTGTTATGCGGTGGAAATGCCCTAGTGTGGCAAGAGCTTACCTCTAGTTAGGATTTCAAGTAACAGTGTTTATAAAGACAGCCAACTAGGCCAGAGGTCACAGAACTTTGAAGAATTTACCTCTTGCTTTGTGCTTGTTTCTTTTGAGACAGGGTGTGGTAGTTTAAATGAGAAAGACACCCCCCCCCCACCATAGTCTCTGGCCTTTGAACACTTGGTCCCTGATTGGTGGTGCTCTTTGGAGGTGGTTAGGAGGTGTGGCTTAGTGTAACTTGGGCCAGCTTTTGGAGTGTTAACCCTCAAGTCACCTTCAGTCTGTTCTCCCGGCTTTGTGCTTACTGTGAAGAACCTGAAAAGTAGCTTCTGGCTCAGGCCACCATGCCTGTCACTTCCTGTTGTGCCGTCCTGACCATAAGCCCCAGACAAAATCTTCTATACATTGCCTTGGCCCTGGTGTTTTGTTACAGCAACAGAACAGTAACTATGAGCGGAGACTGACCTTGAACTCAATCCCCGGTCTCTACCTCCCAACTGGTGGCACTGAATGCAGATTGTGCCACCACAGCCTGTTAAATCTGAAAAGGACGCCAGCAGTGACTAATGAACTAATGATGAGAAATCTTAAGCTTACACATCAACAAAATACACAACAGCAATGTTTCAAACTTCAGAGAAGTAACAGCTGCTTAGTCTAAGTAAAGATTGCCCGGAACATTTGTAGAACAAAAGTCATTCTCTTTTATTCATCCATATTTGAAATTTAACTGGGCATCTCGTGGTTTATCTGCCAGGCCAGCCTGCAGATATATCATGGTTCTTTTTTTTTTTTAAGTATTTATTTGCAGTTGTGTGTGTGTGTGTGTGTGTGTGTGTGTGTATGCGCGCGCGCATGTGCCCACACGCATGCACATGCATGCAAGGAGGTCAGAGGACAGCTTTCAGGAAACAACTTTTTCTTTCCACTGTGTGGGTTCGAGGAGAGAACACAGGTCCTAGCTCTTGTGACTAGAGCTTTTCCCCACTAAGTCATCTCATCGGCCCATCTTTTTTTTTTTTAAATTAAAAAAAAAACCAACCTATACATATTCATTGTGCACAGTGATGAGTTTCATAAAGACATCATCATCCATGTATCATGTCCTGGGATGGTATTCACCCTCCCATGCCCTTTCCTTTTCCCCCTATTCCTCTTTACGTTTGCTCATTCTTAGAGCTCACTCTGTACACTAGGTGTCTAGACTTAGTCCCACTTAACTGTGACCGTCTTCTTTGACCCAACCCCAGCCCCATTCCCTAGCTCACTCCTTGCTTGTGGTAGCCGCCATCCTACTAGCCTCTTCTGAGTATTTGATTTCTGTTAATAGGAGAAAGGAACATGCCATGTTTGTAAATGCCTAATGCATGGAGTTTTAGACTCCACTGTTTGCTTTGCGTGTGAGATTCCACTTAGAAACGTGTCTGGCCTTTTCATTTTGCATGTACCCTCTAGGCCCATGTTTTGCCAGTAGCAAGATTTTCTTATTTTTTTTAAGGCAGGCTAGTATCCCTTTATGTACGTTGTCCATTTGTCTGCTGCCACTTGGATTGTTTCATGTCTTCCCTGCCCTGAATGGCGCCAGGTGTCTTCACACAGTGGCAACTTCGTCTCTTTGAGGAATATTGCTGAATGAGGGACAGCCGCGGGCTGTCAGGCATTTCTTACGGAATTGTTCTATATATATTGGCTGTACTGATCTCTATTCAAAATTTGGATTTATCACTTAATCGTTTGATGATCAGATATGTGCTTTCATAACATATTGACTATATATCTTCTATAGGAAATGTTTTCTCATTTCCTTTACGTATCTGTATGGCTATGATACAGCACATTAAACTGCATGTAATAGGAAAGAAAAACATTCGCACCCATAGCTAGACATAATTGGATTGTTTAAAATGGTTCTCCGGATCTGTTGTCGTGAGCTGCCATTCTCTGAATTGCTTCAGTCTTTATTTGAATGGCACGGAGACATATGCATTTTCTGCTTTGTGTTGCTTGTGTGTTTTGCTCATGCAGACAGCTCAGTTGGCACCAGTCGTTACTAACCAGAACCGAGTTGCCGCTGTTTCAGGAGACATGTTTGTTGGTATTTCTAGTCAATAATTAGTTAAAGTCCTGCAAAGGACTGTGAGCACAGGCTAGTGAAAGATGACATGTTTAGCATGTTTGAAGCCCTGAGACCATGAGCACACACACACACACACACACACAGAGTTCAACTTTACCAAAGGATAAAGAACAATAAGGGTTGTAATTACCTTCTAAGGAGCACGTCAGATCAATACCACAGTGCTCACCTGGCATGTGCTGGACCCTGGGTTTGATCCCTAGCAACATGGAGAAAAAAATAAATAAATAAATAAAACAACCTTAGAATCACTTTGTAGTGCTTCTTCTAGTTTTGTGCTTTAAGTTTTAGATTATAGTGCTGTTTATCATTACAAACCGCTCACACTCATTTTTGTCTGTAAACTTAAAAACAAGGCCAGAATTTTTTTTGTTTTGTTTTGTTTGTTTTTTTGTTTTTTGAGACAGGGTTTCTCTGTGGCTTTGGAGCCTGTCCTGGCACTAGCTCTGTAGACCAGGCTGGTCTCGAACTCACAGAGATCCGCCTGCCTCTGCCTCCCAAGTGCTGGGATTAAAGGCTTGCGCCACCATCGCCCGGCATAAGGCCAGAATTTTGACAGTAACATTCTGGTACTTGAACCAGCCTCAGTCATAGGGAGGGCACCAGCGAGGTCCTTAAAAGACAACCTGGAAACAGATCAATTGCTTGCCTGAACGAGTCTGGACTGAAGCTCGTCAGTTTCATTTTTGCCTAAGTGAATTTATCTTTTTCGTTCAAATTTATTGTTTCATGTAAGTTTCTAAACTTGTCCACCCAAAAACTCCATAATAATATTCTCTTTCCTGTGTCTGACAAAGCTGTCATCATACCCCATGATTTATTATAAATATGTGTATTTCTCTCTGCTTTGCTGAGCTTTCACGACACTTTCCAGGCACGGTGAGTTCTGTAAAACTTCTGGCTCTGGTAACCCTAGAGCCCATGCATCTTAAAATTCACAAAATACTTTAATTCTTTCAGATTGCTTTTCCTAGTACTTCTGGGAAGCCAAGTAGGATTCAGAAGACCATGAGGTGGGTCACCTGCCCTCAATTGCACTAGCTACCCTCCATTCTGAAATCCTTGCCTTTGAGAGATGTGCTATTCAGCAAAGGCAATAGAGCTAGCTAATTCCAATTATAATTTTCTCTTAAAATATCCCTTAGCAAATTTAAACAGCACAATCAAATAAGATTTAAGAGGATCTTAAAATCCAAGAGAAAAGCGATAATGACGTAGGCACATGGTGCCTGGAGGCTGGCTGGGCAGAGAGACTCATCAAGTTTGCGGTGATAAGACTTTGGTGTCTCTTACTTATTTGTGATTTTACATTTTAATTAAAATATTTATTATTTACATGTAAGTGTGCAGATTACGGTCTGTGTGTGTGTGATGGCACATGGGTATCAGAAGAGTGTGTTGGTATTGGCCCTTGCCTTCCACTTTTATGTGGGTTCCGGGGTTCTGAATTTAGACCAGGCTCACACAAGTCCCTTTATCTTCTCTGTGAGCTCCCTAGCTCCCCTGTGTTTATTTATGAGATTCTCAAATGTTCTATATATTTTAAGGATGTACTTAACTTTCACTACAAGCAATAGGTAATGAGAAGGCATAAACTTATTAGTTACCCCAAAGCCACTCTATTTAATGGAAAAGCATACTTAAATCTTTATGTCTTTTTAGCAAAGAACATGGACTAGTAACTTACTTTAATACCTTTTTGTTATTGATTTTGGTAGTGTTGTTGTTTTTGTTTTATTTTTGTTTTTTGTTTGTTTGTTTTTTGATTTTTGTTTTTTTGTTTGTTTTTGAGACAGGGTTTCTCTGTGTCTTGGAACTTGCTCTGTAGACCAGGCTGGTTGGCTTCAAACTCACAGAGATCTGCTTGCCTCGGCCTCCTGTGCCTAGTCCCCATATTTTATTGTTTTATTTTATGTGTATAGGTATTATGCTTGTATGAACGTCTGTACACTGCTTGCATGCCTGGCTCCCCTAGAAGACCAGAATAGGGAATCTAATAACCTGAAATTGAAGTTAAAGATGTGTGTCAGTCACCATGTGGGTGCTAGGAACTGAACCCAGGTCTTCTCGAAGGAAAGCCAGTGCTCTTAACTGATAAGTCATCTCTCCAGGCCCCCAAGAGGAACTTTTCTTGTAAATTGAAATGTCTAGTAACTAGAAAAATCCCTTTTCTCCTCCTCCTCCTCCTCCTCCTCCTCCTCCTCCTCCTCCTCCTCCTC